CAGATTTATAGAATCTCACTTCAAACTTCAAAAATCAAAGAGCGGTAAATTAACTAATTAAGTCCAACTAAACTGTCCAACCCCGATCGGCGATCATCTTTAATCATCCATTCATTATCATTTATTCATACTCAAATTCTCAATCACAATAAAATACTAAGCAACATGAGAACAATTCGTGACTGTCTCTGTGTAAACAATATTCAAATTTCAAAATACAGTAAATACTTACTCAATAATCACTAATTCACACCTTAAGACCTCAAGATTTTCTCTCTCTCAGACCTTCGTCTCTTTGTGTGTATTTTGATTTTTGCAGCTGCTGGAAGCTTTGAGCGACGGAGCCTGGAGGACCAAGGAGGCGAGGACGGAGAGGTTGACTGGAGTCACGTTTAGACAGAAGTTTGCAACGTCTAGATTGATCAACAATTAATTTTGCAGTATCTAGACTCTGGAAGTCTGGAGTCACCTCTGCCTCACTACCTCAGCACCGCAATAATGGTCTGTGGAAGTGAAGACAGCTTCAGCTATTTAGGTTAATTAAAAAACAAAAAAATGGACCCCAACAAATTCTTAGTCTGGTGCGGAGGCCTCTTGGGCCTCTCCTCAGGTCGGCCGCGTGAAATTGGAGAGGAAAACGAGTATACACAAAAATTGGAGAGAAAAAAGAGGACTATATTAATATGTTAATTTCACAAACTATCACTGAATTTACATCAAAATTACAAAACAGTCACTAAATTTTAAAACTTGCACAAACTGTCACTCAATTTACATACACTTTCATAAACGGTCACTGAAATTTAAATTTCTTTTACAAACGGTCACTAAATGACCGTTATGATTTTAATTCGGACTTAAAGGACTAAAACACATGAACATGTAACCTTGAGGACCTCAAGTGCAAATATCATTAAAAAACCCTCCCCTAAAACCATTTTCAACCGCCACTTTAGGACGAAATTCCACCACTTTCCGACCACCAAAACCACAGGACCAACACACCACCTTAAAGCCATCGTTGCCCTCTACGCAACCCACGCAAGCGAATTTGGCCGAAATTTCGTCTCAAAGTGGGCTGCTTGCACAGCACGAAACTTCCATCGATTACTTTGGGACGAAATTTCTGCTAAATTCGTCGAAGTTAGGGTGATTCTTGGGTGGGTTGCGTAGAGGGAAGTGAGGGCTTCAAGTTGGTGTGTTGGTCCGATGGTTTTGGTGGCCGAAAACTAGTAGAATTTCGTCCCAAAGTGGCGGCTGAAAATGGTTTTGTGCTAGTGATCGGCCCATTTTAGGACAAAACTCCAGTCAAATCCGCCGTAGTTAGGGGCGATTCTTGGGTGGGTTTGGTAGAGGGCAGCGAGGGCTTCCAGGTAGTGTGTTGATCCGATGGTTTTGATAGCTGAAAAGTGGTGGAATTTCATCCTAAAGTGGTGGCTGAAAATGGTTTTGGGGGATGGTTTTTGATGATGTTTGCACTTGAGATCCTCAAGGTTATATGTTCACGTGTTTTAGTCTTTTAAGTTTGAATTAAAATCATAACGGTTCTTCAGTTACCGTTTGTGAAAGAAATTTAAATTTTAGTGACCGTTTGCGAAAGTGCATTTGAATTGAGTGACTGTTTGTTCAAGTTTTAAAATTTAGTGAGCGTTTTTTAATTTTAATGTATATTCAACGTCTGTTTGTAAAATTAACCCTTATATAACTAGAGTTGAACAAGGTTGGTTGGGTATACATTTAGATTTTAGTGGTGTGGGTTTCAGTCTGTCAAGGTCAAATCATTCATTTTCTTTCTGAAAGAAAATTTTATTTTCGAGTAATTGGCATAAGGAATGAAATATATCTCTATCATTTCATTTTAGCACAATACTTCTCTAAGTGGCATTTTTTTTTCCTGAAATACAACATTTTCTTCAATTTTTTCAATAATATCTTGTGAAATGACAAATATACCCTCTCCTTTAAATAAAAGGAAAGAAAATAAAAGAAAAAAATAATTAATTAATTATAATCGTAGTCCCAAATTTTTTGAAAAAGTGCAAACAACTCACAAGTAAATAATTAAAAAGATTGAATGAAAGTATTAGTTTTTATATTTAGTTTTTATAAATTAAATAACTATTTTTTTCACTATTTTATTTCTTTTATTTATAATATTATCGACGTGACAACGACAATATAATCAATTATATTATCGATGATTACCAATAATTATTTGATCGCTAATGATCGACAAAGAAGTCATTGATTTTATTTTCATACAATATATATTTTATTTTGTCTAGTTACAATTCCAAATAATATCTTTTTCAAACAAGATGTTCATCTATCCTTGTTTGGCTTTTAGTTGACATGATCCGATGAAAAATAGAATTTGTTATTACTCTCTTCGAAAACATCATATACAATTAATAGCATGCGAATGTAAAATCATAAAATTACATTGCAGGTAAACGTCATGTAAATTATTATATTCACTACAAAAAAATGTCTTATTAAAATATTACTATGATAAATCATGTAAAGAAACCTAATGAATGAAAAAAAAATCACATTATTTATTTGAATGCGTTATGAAGTTGCCTCGTTAAAAACTTTGTTAAAAAAAATTCAATTGTACAAAACCTTAGTCAAAAGAAAAATATATATATATGTATTGAGTATCAACTCCCATAAATCACTAGAATACATATTTATAGACAATAAATCATTCAAGAATTTATAAAATTAGTATTAATAAAATATTATAGGTAAGTTGATTATAATCACATTTATTAGACACATCGAATTTTATGCAAGATCGGCTAACAAAATAGAATGAGTAATGTTATTTAACCTCACTTGAGTTATAATTTATTAATTTTAGTTTAAATGAGAGGCTAAATAAAATGTGTAATTAAATGATTCATTTAATTGTACTTATCATTTAGAGTGTCTTTGATTGGTATGGAAAATATCTCCCAGAAAATAAAAACAAAACTTATTCCCTCCAAATAAAACGTTTTCCTTAAAAAAAAAAAAAAGGAAAA